CTGAAAGCTGTTTGTTTGACGTGCCTTTCCATGTAGGACTGTTATTGGCCGTTTCAGGTGTTATCTGATACGCTCTCTGGCATATGAAGGACTCGCATTACTATATGCAGCTGCTTTGCTGTGACTGTGGGATTTCCCAGCCAAACCAAATCTAAACAATTTCTGTAACATTCTCACCAGTGTTACTCTGGGAAGCATGAGAAGTGCCTGCTCTGTTCCTGTTGCAGCCCTTAATGTGTATATGGCGGAGTACTTATTGGATGGATTATCCTACATTTCTCTGACCTTAGGTGATATTGTGGGAAAACACAGCTGATCAGGACGTTCAATTTATGCACTGAAACACTGTATTAAAGGCAGAGGGGTGGTGAAGAGCTCTGTAGCCTGGAGCTTCCCATTAGGCTGGTGGGGAGATACTGCTTCAAGCATACATTGTTGTACCTTAGTAAAAGCTCATCTTGATAAGCAATAACTCCGCATGCCTTTGGGGCAGTAATTAGGAGGCACTTTAGCTCTTGTCTAGCCTTTAGACAAATGATGCAAGGACAGGAAGAGCCTTGCCCTTTTTCTTACCAGTCTGTCTATGTGTGGGGGTTAGGTGTCTAGTTCCAGGCTACAGTTTCTCTGGTGGCAAAACCGGTTTAAGAAGTTCTGCCCTGATTGTTTCACTGTTTTCTCTTCTGTGCCAGTGCTGGCCACAAAAGGATCTAGTTTGCTAATCCAATTAAAACTAAGCTGATTGGGAAAACCAAAACAAAACCAACAAGCAATCCATATGGGGATGGGAGGGCTTATTTTTGAGTTTTTGGTAATTAGAGTGGTGTCAGCCCTTCCCCTGTGCCCCTGTTCCCAGCAGTGTAATAGGTGCAGCTACACAGAAAAATTGATGGTATATCGCAAGAGGAGAAATGGCCGGCTGAGGAGAGGGAAACCCCTTCTTCAGGTTATTTTGTTGATGTAGAATTTGTTGCTATAACTATACCCATGGTGACTGACTTCTCATTTATATCCACTCCTTGTTTGGAACCAATAAGAAGCTTCTCAAATCCTGCAGAGTCTGTAACTATTAACTCTCTCTTATGTGAAGTGTCTTAACGTAGCCATCAAGAAACACTCATGTCTAAATGGGGATAGCAATTCTTGTGTTTCTAGCTGTGAATTTGGGTTGTACAATGGAAAAGGAGAGGAGTTAAACACCAACCTTCCCAGCAAAAAGCCTTTTATGCAAGACTGAGTTTTAGCTTTCTCATTTAGTAACTGGTCTAAACACTGAGTTTTATGACCACAGACGTATTGGTCACCCGACTGCCGTTTTCCCCATGTACCGTGCTTGACTGGCACATTCTGCCCAAATAAAGATTGAACTTCTTTGTCATTTCAGAAGAGGAAGGAGTTCAGCACTTGCACAGTCAAGTGATGAAAACAGATATGTTGGGAAGAGCTGCTGATGTTGTGATAATCATCTCAATATTGTGTTTTCAAGGACCTGATTGTTTTGATATTTTTCAGAAGTACTGGCTCAGCTTTGTATGAGTCTTCATCTCAAAATTCCCTTACTGTAGAGACTGCCTGAGCTCAAGGAATCTTCTTGTGGAAGGTTAATACTGAGCAAATTCAAACATGGAATGAATGATCAGAGTGAAGAAACTTGCTTCTCACAGCTGAATATAAAAATCTCTGGTATGTGTAACTGTGCTATGGGAACTCAAACCTATTAAGCACTGAAGTTCTGCATTGATGGGGGGAGAGATGTCTTCATAGGATAGGCCAGTGCAGTGCAATGCAGTATGGTTTTCTATGGTCTCCTTAATGGGAAATAATCCCAATATGATGGTCATAGTGGTGTATTAAGTTTAATTGCCTCATGAATACGGTTCTCTGGATTCAGTGTAGAAGTTAGAAATAAAAATACAGGTTGTTTTAAAAAAAAAAGAAGTCTTGAAAGGAGCTTGAACTTCATAATTAATATATCATGTAAAGAGTTGTCTCTAGCTCCTAACTGAAAATAAACATGCTGCTCTTAAGATTGTCCACTGCTATGGGGGCTACTTCCCACATGGGTTTGCCACAGTTGCAGTCCAGATAAATAGGAAAAACAAGACATCATGCTGCATTTCCTTGCTCAATGTATTTAGTTTATAGGTACCAACAAAGACCAATGAAGAGCAAACAACAGAGTTTAGAGATTAATACTGGGGAGGGGGTGAGGGTTGAGGTTCCCAAGGAGACGTGAAAAGATAGGAGTAAATAGGTTATTACAGAATTTTTATTGACTTTGGGGATAGCCTCAGCTCTGGTAATAGAGTTAATAGTAAAAGTAGGAGTTGAAACAGAAAGGGAGGGAAGGATTGAGCTTTTCAAAGGGTCTGAGGGCTGAATGTCACCACTGTATTATGTAAATGGCATACCAAGACAAAGATCAGAAAGAGGGGGAAAAAGGACCTATAAGAGAGAGAGAGAGGCTGAAGTCTAAAAATTCATAAACAAGTTTCCTGAAAAAGAGGTTTTTAGAGTTGAAATCAAGCATACTAAATAATCAAGAAAAATGTGACATTAGTGATTGTCAGAAGTCAAGGAGGATAGGAAGGGATGAAGGGAACTCAGGCCAGAGAAGGAAAGGTCATGTCTTGCATTCTCTCTTGCCTTGAAAAAGCTGGGCTGCAAAACTGGGAAACTAGCAGCATCTTCTCACCGAGGCCTTGGTGAGAAAAGATGAAGGGAAAGGCTAATAAAGATAGCATTCAAACTAATGCTAAGGATTATATCAGTAAGAGTGTCTCGGCATCTTTATGAGAAGATGGGATTAGCCATCAGAAAGACAAAATGTGGGTTTTTTTGACACATACAGCCTTGCTTCTGGAAAAAGGTGATGCCCAGGAAGGCATTTAGGGAGGAGGAAGCAGTGGAATGGGAGATGGAAAGTCAGGCTGTGCCAGGGAGGCGTGGGTGGAGGCAGACCGTAGTGGCAGTTAGTCCTGTGTTGTACATGCACATGTGAACGTAACACAGACTGCTTTGGCCATGAGCGTTACCTGGTAAGACTTGCTCAGCAGTTAGATTTGCTTTGTATGCATGGAGAAGCACTGACATTTGGTGTCCTTAAATTCCCTCTTGTGTCTGGATTTATTTGTCATGCTGCCTGATGCACACGGTTAATTGTGTTTATGTTGATTGTAATCAACGGTTAACTAAGTTCTTGGCAAGTTCAGGGACAGCCACGTCCCTGGAACTATCATTAAGTGACACAAGAGATTGAAATCATAGCTGAGGTGGCTTCCTTGACCTTGCTTTGATTGACGTTTCACTGGATACAGCTGGATAGCTGCTTCTGTCATTCTCTCCTCTTTGCACTTCACAGGTAGGTGTGTAGGTTTGCTTTGGGTACAGAAAAGAGAGCGCTACCAAGAAGCAGATGCTTTCATGCACTTCCTACTGGAAAGATTTTGCAGATATTGTTGATTTTTTTTTTTTTTTTTTTTGCTCTCACAAATCACAGAAGGCAGGCTTTTGGTTCTTCTACTTTGGAACAGGTGTGTGAGGAACCAAAAGGCTTAAAGAGGTGCTTTATTTGCTTCTTGTACAAGAAGTAATGATTACTAGTAGAAAGCCAGCAGGAAACTTTGAGGTAGGACTGGGAAATGCTTTCTATGGCTGTGGGAATTCCCTTGACTTTTCCGCCGTAGAGGCAGACCCTTCTCTCCCCTTATATTGAAAGGGACACAGGTGTAGAGTGGAGAATCAAAAGCCTCTTGATTCACTTCTCTTAGCAACACCTTCCTGATAACTACGGAATGCAGAATTTTGCCGTTTAGTGCAAGATGGAGTGGGAGCTGAATTGACGTCCTTGGAAATAAGGAGTTATCTCTTTACTCCTTTTTTCATGCCATGCTTCCCAGAAGGCTGCAGGGAGGATAAAGGGCTTTTGGGTGCTGTGCTGCAGTTGGTATGTTGGCTAGGGCTTCGTGAAACCCAATGCGCGGTTTCGACAGAGGAGGCACAACTGTTGGCAGGTTCTGGTGACCACGGCAGGCCTCCGCGGGAGTTATTCTAAGAACACAACATATGATCACGTTACTGTGGGACACTTTACATGGCTCTAAAAAATGAACCATCGGATGGTTTATGACAGCTCTGCCTGTCCTGGCCAAGTGAGGAGCGCTAGTCTTCGCTGACCCTAACAGCCAGGGTTGTGAAGCAAAGAGGGAGCGCTCCAGAGGCTGCAAACCTACAGGCTTCCAGCTGCATAATACTTACTTACATCTAACTTTTACTAAGAAAACCAAAAAATATTTAAATCTTGCTTCTCTTGCAGTTTCAATTCATGGTAATTTAATAGTCTTGTTGCAGTTGACTGGGCCTGGCAATTTGCATAGTTCTATATTTAGTAATCCCTGCGATGTTAATGTCTTTGTAGAAGGATCTTTTTAGGGGGTTGGTGTGGTGTGGTTTTTTTTTTTCCTGGCAGTATCTTTATTAGCTTAAATCCTGACACCTTTTTGGTTTTCCCTGGTTCTGTGGGGACACACTTCGGGAAGAGGAAGGCCATATGAGAGGTGGTGGCAAGTGAATTCTAAAACCAGAAATTTTGAGGATCCACATCTGAATGCTTTCTCCAGAGAGTTTCTTTGAGAGAATTTCTATGCTAGCTTCTGCTATGTGCAATTTGTACAACAGTTTTCCCTCCGGTGAAAGCACACTCCCTGAGAGTGCTCTGCAATTTTTGCTGATGTTGTCAAAGGCAAACCGTTAAAAACACTTAAACACCTCCCACTTTTTCAGACTCAACTACAGTTCATTGCCTCGTCTCAGCTTCCCTTGTTTTATTCTCTGTAATGCTCAGTCCCTCCTAATTCCTTGGAGTTGCTGGGTGGTGCAGGAGGTTGGAGTCACTGTGTAAAGGTTTCTTTCTGCCCGTCCTTGCTTTTTAGTTTTTTCCCTCAGGTGCTTCTTCTCGCTCCTCCTCTGCTCATTCGTGGGTTCCTGGTGTTCTGCAGTCCGTGATGGGCATTGATGGACTGTTGTTTTCGTCCATGCTGGAGATGGCTGGAACTGACTGTGAGTGGCACGGCACTGTTCATGGCATCCTCTCACGCAGATTACCCCGGTAGCCTTCTGCCACTGAAACAGAACAGTGCTCTGTCAGACTGCTCAGTCTGTATCGTTTCTTGACTTTCATGGAAACAACAAAATTAATTTTGCTCCAAAACGTTAATTATATCTGGTTGAGAACCCATTGAAATTAGTTTTGCACAAGTGACCCATATTTGACCCAGTGTCTGGAGGGTTTCCACGGGTTCAACTCGTCAGCGTAGCCCAATATGCACAGTTTAAAAGTTTGCTTAAAATTACCCACATCCACTTCTTCTCCAGGCTAATTTTTCCTCTTTTTTCCAATAACTCATTCCCCTTGCCCCTCAAAGGGTCCTCTTGATGTACATAATTTTTTTTTTAATTTTTAATAGCTTATGGGGTTTAAGCACCTTGTTTTGTTCTGCACATTTCCCACTTCTGATGTGTGTCAAACTGTCCTCCTGAAATTTTGTATATGCCAGCATCTGTATGAGAAAAATCCCTTCTGTTCTTTCTTACCTTTCAACTTGGTTCCATGTCCAACAGATGGAGGCTTTGACAGTCATAAATATTATTCTTGGCACTAGAAAAAGGTGGTGTAGGTATGTGTTGCTAGTATTTGGTCTTGGCTTTGTAAAAATGGTTACATTGACTGGAAAAGCAGACCAGGTGGAAGGTAGCGTAACAGCATCTGCTCCCATCAGACTCTCCTGGGCATGCCACCATGCTGTGCTGAAACTGTGGGAACTGAAGAGATCAGGGGTTACGTGCTGGGCATTGTGGTTTTGGCCCAGAAATAGCGCCTAGTTTGTGTATAGAGGAGCTGGAGCTGTTTTCTCAGCTACAGACCTGATTCTTCTTCCAGGGGAAAAAGGAGAGCTTCTATAATGGCTGTTAGGAAAAGGTTAAGATCTGTAAATGTCATGTGCTTTCCCATCCCTGTGTGTGCTTTGACTGGGTTTCGTGAACATGACCTAAACGCAGTCATGGACACTTATATTCTTCTGTTTCAAAAACAGACGGAACGAGGAGCTCTGTCAGCCCTTCCCTAAGAGCTGAGTCTTTAGCACAGAGCCCTTCCTTGCATTCACTTTTTTCAGGGTTGAGTTAAAGAAGAGTTTAAAATAAAAACAAGTGACAACTTTTTCATGTGATATTGAACAAATGGCATAAATATTGTGTCTTTTTTCACTGCTTGCTTCCTTGATGTCTGTGATGTCCTAATGTAAATTCTCCTTTCAGCCCATAAACTTTCCATAGAAGAGGGGTTATAATTTTGTTATGAATAAACTTCACAAGAGCTGTGGCTTTGCTTCCCAGTTTATTCCTGCTTCATTCCTCAAACACTTGCAGTCATATAAGATGTCTCACAGCCTTGTACTTCCCACTCCCAACGTTTTATTGAGGTGCTGTATTGTTACTGGTGCGGTCACCACAAAATGTATTATTTTGCAGACCCTGCTCTTCCTGTCATGTTTTCTGCCTTGAATCAGCCTAGAGTTCAGATGTGTAATTGCTGCTTTTCTGTTTCTGCTTTTCATTCCTCCATCTCCAAGAAGGGAATAAAATCTGTGTGTCTGCTTAGATTTGATACATGGGAGCCAGCGTACGGAACCTGCATGGTGTGCCTCATGTCTTGGTGTCTGGTCTCCAACAGTACTGTGGTGCTAGCAGTGCATCGGGTCTAAGCTTGCTTTTCCTGTTCACTGCTGAAGTTGTCAGTAGCTCAGCCTTCTATGCTTCTCTTAATGATTTTTAAATCCTGGACCTGAGTCTTCTGCAGTTTCCTGCTCTCATTCCAAGCAATTTCAAATTATGTACCAGTGACTCTGTAGCTTCACGTTTCGTTAGTCATTTAATTCATGTTCATAGAATCACAGAATGATTTGGGTTGGAAGGGACCTTAAAGATCATCCAGTTCCAACCCCCCTGCCATGGGCAGGGACACCTTCCACTAGGTCAGGTTGCTCCAAGCCTCATCCAGCCTGGCCTTGAAGATGCCCAGGGACGGGGCATCCACAGCTTCTCTGGGCAACCAGTTCCAGTGCCTCACCACTCTCTTCATGGTGCTGTGAAGTTTCCCTCATCTCTCACCATAACCATCTTTTCTTTGCATCTCTTCCCTGGCCTCTCTTCTCACATTGAACATAACCTCACTGTTTCATCTCTTACAATCAAGGTGTAAAACCTGTCTTTGGCCTGCAATGTATGCTTGTTCCACAATCAGACAAGGGTTCCTTCACCTCTCCCAACCAGTGCCCCGTTTTCATGTTTATGGGAGCTCCCCATAACATTCCACAAAACTAAGCTTCTTTCTTTATATCTCCTCCGAAGAATGCTCCTTTTTTGGGATGCCTGCAAGAGCCTGAAAACTTTTCTTTTTATTTCACTGTATCCTGTCACACTGACAACTTCTGTGGAATGATTTCCATGTTCTTCACCATGGTTGTTTGTTTTCTTGTACTTAGATTCACAGAATGACGAGCTCATTCAGGTTGGAAGGGATTCACGTTGTCTAGGCTGGCCCTACTGCTCAAGCAGTGCCAGCTATAGCAGGTTGTCCAAGATTGGATTCAGTCAGGTTTTGAGTATCTCCAAGAATGTAATCTCTCTGGGAAGCTTGTGCTGGTGTTTGACCTCCAGTACAGTAAAAAAGTTTGGGCTTTTTTCTTTTTTTTCCTCCGTTCATTGGTTCTTAGAGGAGGCTGGCTCCCTCTTCTTCATTGTTTCCTGTCAGGTATTTATATGCATTGATAAAACTCCCCCCAAGTCTTCTCCATGCTGAACAGTCCCAGCTCTCTCAGCCTCTCCTCATATGAAAGAAAATCCAGTCCCGTAATAATTTTTCTGGACCTTTTGCGGGACTCGCTCCAGTAAGTCCACATCTTTCTCGTGCCGAGTAGCCCAGAACTGGATACAGTCCTCCAAATGTTGCCTCAGCAGTGCTGAGGAGAGAGGAAGGACCACCTCCCTGGACCTGTTGGCAACAATCTTCCTAAGGCAGCCTGGGATACTGTTGGCTGCCCTTGCCACGAGAGTGTTTTGCTGGCGCATTGTCAGCTCATTGTCAACCGGGACCCCCAAGTCCCTTTGTGCAGAGCTGCTTTCCAGGTGGTCAAACCCCAGCGTATACTGGTGCTTGGAGTTATCTTTCTCTAGGCGCAGGACCTCGCTTTTTTTCTTTGTTGAACTTCATGAGATTCCTGACAGCCTGTTTGTCTAGTTAAGGCCTTTCTGAATGTCAGCATAGCTGTCTGGTGTGTTGGCCACTTCACAGTTTTCTGTCATCTGTGATCTTGCTGAGGGTGTGCTCTGTCCACGTCTTTAATGAAGATGTTGAACAGTATTCGCACCAGTATACCCCGAGAGATTCGCCTCTAACTGGACTTTGTGCCCCTGATTAAAGCCCTCTGAGCCTGTCCATTCAGCCAGTTTTCAGTCCATCTCCTTGTCCACTTATCTAACCCAAATGTTGTCAGGGTGCCTGTAAGGATGTTACAGGAGGCAGTGTCAGAAGCCTTAGTAGGGTCACAATACACAGGGCTCTGTACTCACCTACGAAGATAGTCACCTCTGTAGAAACTGTCAGGTTGTTCAAGTAGGGTTTCCCATGTGTAAATCCATGTGGACTACTTCCTTCATGTATCAGAAAATGGTTTCCAGGATTATATGCTCCATCACCTCCCAGGGATTGAGATGAGGCTGACTGGCCTGTTGCTTCCTGGATCTTCCTTCTTGCATTTCTGAATGTTTTAGGGCACGTGGCTTTCCAAAAAGAAAAACTTCTTTGTACTGGCAATCTTGATCCATGTTTACAGCTTCTACACACTTTGGTAACGTACCTATTAAGCAAAGCATATGATTCTCCTATTTATTGGTATTTTTAAGATAGGCGTGCAAGCTGGGAAATAGAATTTGCAGCCCAAAGTTCTGCTCCTGAAACTCAGATACCACGTTAACCAGTGAGTACCTTTCTAAGACAGAAAACAGTGTGACAGAGTATCACCCCACTGTTGATCTCTACAGATAGATGATTCTGTTGTGCATCTTTTCCCCGCCATCATAGCTTTCTAAACTTGTATTAATAATACAATTAATTAATAATATTGCATTATTTCTCTGTTCCAGGCCGAAATGAGCTGATTGCCCGCTACATTAAGCTGAGAACAGGGAAAACGCGCACAAGGAAACAGGTAAGTGTAAAGTTTTCCCTGTAAACATTAGCTGCTTCGGGCCACTAGTGACGATGAGGGCTTATGAGAACAAAACCCTTGCTGTTTGCTTGTGTTAGTTTCTAGCTTTGCATTAAGAGGTGGTTGTGCTGAGCTGGGTAATAGAATGGTGGGCAAAGTCAGCTCAGACACTTTGCAGTAGGATTGTAATGCTCCCAGCCTCACTGACACCTTTTTCTACTGTTAAACAGTGTGTGATTTTGTTTGGTCTTCTAATAAATGTTTCCATGGACACAGGTAGTCCTCTGTATGACAAGTCTTTGTTCAACCCAGACAGCAATGGTGATTTGAAAATACTTGGCACTTGGGATGAAAAAGGAACCTTTGTAATTTGGGAATGACAGTCCAGGCTATGCTGGACAAAGCAGTGAGCAACCTAGACCTTCTTTGGGTAGGGAGTTGATGGATGACCTCCAGATGTTCTTTCCAACCTAAATTATTCTGTGATGCATTTTGGCCCATATTAGATATGGGGAAGTTCCAAGAGTCCATATATAGTTGCTAGAAATATGGAATATGGGTGGGTTTCCCTTCTCCCAAGAGGAGGCCAAGATGGGGACCAAAGAGATCAGAATTCTCAATCCCTAGATTTAAGGATGGATTCTTTAATTTTGGACGTCTCTGGCTTGATAAAGCCATTTGAGTTGGAAAAGGCCTTAAATAATGCATCTTTGTTGATCCCCCCACCTTGTTTCATGATACTTAAGATATGTTCAGAAAAGCATCTCATTGCTACCTCAATCCCCCAGCCCTAAATAACTCCCTATTGCACAAGTTACCTAGAGCATGTTAACTTCTGGAAGCAGCTCTCAAGTACTCTGGAATGAAGGTGGATTTTGTCTTTCACTGCAGGTGTCTAGTCACATCCAGGTTCTGGCAAGGCGGAAAGCTAGAGAGATCCAAGCCAAGCTCAAGGTAGGATGGGTGTTCTTTCACATATCATGCAGGCTCCCTAAAGTCAACCACTAATCCATTCCCTCTTTGAATAACCTTAAAAAAGGGTGAGATTAGCCACTGAACTAAGATGGGGAGGGAGAGATACTTCCTAGGGAGTGTTGTGCAAGCACTGGTAGTGGTGTAGCTCTGTGATGCCTGAGGCAATTTTATTTAAAGAATAAAGAAACAATAACTTTAAGTTTTATGTGTCTGATTTCTACCTCCAGTTTATGCCACTGGCATCCAAATCTGAAAGATCCTTTGACCTGGGAGTATGCAAAGAGTGTTTACCTGAGAAGGAGGGGTTTATAGTTACAAATGCTGACCAGTAATCAGTCCCTGGTGTTGTGGTGGCCTTAGGAAAGGGTAGCCTTAGAGTTACTGCAGTGCTAGTTCCACCTCTACTAGTGGCAGTGATGTGGAGTCGTCTGTGAGAAAGTGTTCTGAGTTGGCATAACCACCCAGAGGAAGCAATAAAGCTAGCTGGCATGTTCTCAGGTAAAATGGTGCCAACTGACTAGTCTTTGCTTCTTAATTCAGGCCTGATTTGAAGAGGCCTGGGCTAATGAGAGACAAAACGGTTGACTACTTGGCTTGAGCAAATCTGCGTTTTCCTTTCTATAGGAAGAGCTACAAACTGATACCCTTGACATTTATTTCCACTCAGATTTGAAGAAGGGAGATGGTTTATGTGCTCAGACTGAATTGTCAGCAATGTCAAGAAGGTCAAGTTTATGTGTGACAAATGCACGAGAGGGTGTCTCCTCTCAATGTGAGCCACCCAGAAAGGGCTTGCCCAGCAGGATGTGAGGTCTGGTCCTTGCTATCACTGAGACAGCCAGAGGAGGAAGGTACATGCTGACCTTCCTGGTTTGGTATGGCAATAAGTGATCTGGAGGGAAGCGTGTTTGCTTCTCTGATCTTCCATGCTTCGGGTGATGGTGACGACCTGGCAGCCCTGTCCAGCCCTGACTGTTGAGTGGGTGGCTCTTCCTATCGTGCTTCCTCTTGTCTGTCTGGGCAACTGCTCCCTGGGCACCGGGAGAAGTGGCCTGTCTGTGAGTTAACTATCGGCCCTAAGTCTTGACCAGTGCTGAAGTGCACGCATCTCTATTGCAAGCAGTGATTACCTCTCAGTCACAACGGCACCCCCTTCCCCCCCCCATCCCATTTTATAAAATGGTGTTTTGTCTGTGGTTAGCTGGTTGTGTTTCCAGCTGCTCTGATAAAGAGAAGGAGCCTTAAATTACGACTGTCTGATTTAGTGCTTCAAGGTAGGGCTGCCTGAGCTTGGAACCTGTGGTGCTGCTAAGTGGTCAATTCAGGCCGAGGCCTGCTCGAGAGGCAAGTTAGAGCGGGTAGGAAACAACAACTGCTCCAGGGTGTTAAAAGATTTACTGCTGCTTCCATCTGTAACCTTGATTCTGTTCCTTGCATCTCACAGCTCTGGGATTTGACATGATTGAAAAGCCAGTCAGCCAAGCCTGTTTCCACTTAGCACACAGGAGCTGGCCATTTTTGTTCTCGGGGAACTAAGGTGTCTCAGCGAGCTCCCTGGAGCCATTGGTTGTTCTCCTTTTACACCACCCTGGGCCATGCTGTGAGCTCTGCCCAGCTGCCCGCAGTGAACCATTCCCCAGCACCACCGTTCCCTTCTGCCTGCAGAGGCAAGGCCGTGGCACGGGTACAACTCATTCGCTTCTCGCTTCTGCTAGTTATTTTCATAGAGCAAGGAAATGAAATCATAAAAGCTGCTGCCCTTCTTCCCAGTTCCTGC